CCTCACGTGGAATGTAGGTCTCTCTACCCTGTATTAGGATGATTCATCCTTAGGTACTGGAAACTTGAAAGAATGGGCCACATCTGATATACCTTCACCTTCTTAACACTCCACAACTGTACCTCTTGCTTTGTAGGCTGAAGATGAACATTTGTCCAGTAAATATTGAGATTAGATTTACTTTCCTGTAACAATGTTCTTTTGGTGGTGTGGTTCTTGGGTAAGAAATAGTAGCAAAGTGTTCTTTGTTTCTCAACTCTGCCCTTCACAAATATATGGTTCGGTATTTTGTATGTGAGGAGGATAAGAAGAATTTTGCTCTTGGGTATGGCCATTTTGCTTTATTTTAATGTGCTAAAAGATAAACATGCACTTAGAACATTCTCCTAACAATCAGAAAATCAGTTGTCTTGCTCAGTAGTCTCCCAGATCAGATTAATAACTGGGGAGAAGGTCACTATTATAGGGAGCTCTGTTAGCATCATCCCCTGTCTTAAAATTCCTTTTCTTCACCTTTCTCTTGAAACCTATATCCTAGTACTGAGCCAAGAAGGAAGAATCAAATGCAGGAAGCAACTATGCTTAGAGAGACACCTGTTTAAAAATCTGATTTTTTGTAGCATGGATTTTTTTTCCAATTCCAAACTGTCAAGATTTTGTGTTAGAAGATCACAGTGTCGTGTGTGTGTGTGTGTGTGTGTGTGTGTGTGTGTGTGTGTGTGTAACAGCTGATCTAATTGGGCAAGTTTTGCTGTGGTAACATTAGGGCTCATTAGATTTTCTCTTATCAGTGGTGTAAGCTGTGAGATTTCACCCAAGTAGAGGATTTAGATTCTAAATGAGAAATATAGATTAGCATTACACATAATGAAATAATGGACTTTAGCCTTACCTTTCTAGTGACAAAAGCAGGAACTTCAATCTATTGTAGGGTTCCTGTTTAATCAATAAATAAACGAGAGACAGAGAAGATTTATTTCTTCTGTGGCAACGAACACCATCATTTTTCTTAATTATCCTTAGGTTTGCCTCTCCTGCTTTCAGATTCTTTGCAAGTTAGAAGATTCTCTACATTAAAAAGGGATATGGGCTCTCTTGTGTTTTCTCTCTCACACAGAGTTTTGCCTTTTACATGGTTACAACTACATTTCTTAATTAAAACCTAGTAAAATCAAAGGTTTTGCAAGGTTATTCAGGCTATCTTAAAAAACAGAGGTTCCAGCTGAGGTAGGCAAAGATCAAAGCAGCTGTAAGAGAGAAAACAAATAGTTTGAACTTTGGATCCACAGATGGTTATGCCTGCCAACTGTTATGAGCCAATGAATATCTGGCCTATCATTTGTCATATTTATTGCAGTACATAATGCTGTAATTTCTCATGGCAATGTTATTTATCTTGCTATGTTCTCTGAGCAGCTAAAATTGCAGCCATGTTGGAGCATACATATACTTTTTGATTTTCATCTTTAAATAGTAGTCATGCAAATTGGCACAAGCCTCCCCATTTAAAGACTGGAATTATGAATGCTGCAAAAGCAACTAGTTGGCAGATGCTAGGAAATTTTGACAACAATTGCTGCTATATTCCTAGTCTTGCTTCTATGTGGTTAGCCACAAAACTAAAGGGAGTGGAAGCTCTCTTTTACAGTTTACTTCCTTTCAGAGACTAGCTTCCTGAAAAGTAGTTACTAGAACAGTGAAGCCCTTATCTGGAAGCCTCTCTGGAGTGTGCACAGAACCCTCCATTGTTGCAGAAGGAAAGTGGGCTCTGGGATGGAGGTGGTTGAGGGTGGGGGCAAGAAGGCATGAAGTACTCAGTCACTGATTTCTGACAGCAGTCTAGGGTACTGTGACATCAAAAGGCATAGCAGGAACACCTGTCTCTACTGGCACCTCTACTGCTGGCAGTGGTGAGTCAGTACATACAGGCCACATGATGCCTGGTGACAGAAGGTGTGACTCACAGGTGAGCGGAGAGCATCTTCGGGATACTTGCTCTCCTGCCACATCTCAGCATCCATGATGAATCATTGGGTCCAAATGGGGCTTGGAGTTGGGGCAAATTTTTGTGCATGTTGGCGCCTCCATGAGTGGCAGGTGTGAAGGGTGGAAATGGACTACTACTGGTGCACTGAATAGAATTTGTACAGATGCTAATTTGTAATGATGTACACCTGAATCTTATAATACAATGTTTCCTCAATAAAAATTAGAAACCAAAAACAAAGGCAGATGTGAAGATGTAGGTGCTTCTCTTCCTTATGGGATTAGTTGCATTCACTTCCTGAACTGTGAAAACCCACACTTTGCCATAGGACACACTGCTGTTTGTTGTAAAGGGGCTACTGGCCACTCATGCCCCTGCAGAATGCAGACAGTTTCAAAACTCACTGTAGCCATGAGTTTTCTCACAAAGGCTACAATCAGAAAGGTTAACAATGATTCATTCTAAAATTCTGAGACCCCTCTCCTTCCCTTCCCCTTCAAGATGGTGAAGTGGCCGTAAGGTGTTCAGCTAAAGAGAACAGACAATGACATCATTCTAATTATTGTTAGGGTTAATGTTAAAAAGCTGCAGGTTAGGATGTCAAAATCCTTAATGCCTGTCTTAACCACTTTAGTCTCACCTCCCCCTACCTTTCTGTTCCTGGAATAGGTCGTGTTCTCTTCTGCTCAGGACTCTGCGCAGCCCAGACTTCCATAGGCAAGGGAACTCAGGAGCAAAAGGAGGCTCTAAAAATGCAAGCCTGTAGTGTACTTTCAGTACACATCTTTCCTCATGAAGAAATAAAAAGACAGTATCTCTGGAAGCTCTAAAGCTGACTGAGGACCAAGCATTTGGGCTGCCTCAGGTTTAGAGGCTGTGTGCAAAGAAAGGCAGAATTTATAAATGGCCCAGTATAAACATGAAATACAGGAAGCTTCATAAAGAACATCGGGAAGGTTAAGACTTCGAAAGAGTGGAGACTTTTTAAAAAAACCAAAGATGACAAGAGGCTTTTAAATTTACCATCAGTGTTCGTGTCTGGAGTGGTAGTGCAAGGTCAATGGACAACAACAAAATCCTCTTTCAAGTCCTCATTGCATCAGCCTTCTAGGTTAAGCAGAAAGCGCTTCAGACTAGGAAGGATGGAAAAACAACTGCTAAGAGAACTAGATGACCAAGATAAGTAAAGCAATCATCAAAGAGCACTAATCAAACTTTCAGGTCTAGACATCAACTCCTTTGGAGATGCAAGTCTATGTGACAGGAGCAGAGACAAAGGGGGGAATGCCAGCAGCCCTAAAATGGGTAAATGACTTTTTGAGAAGGGAGAGTATATTATTAAACAAATGACCTATGTCCATTTCAAGAGGGAAGCAAAGTTGGAAATGAGCGCCATGTCACAGAGCCTTAGGGGGTCTATCAGAGCAGTGAGGACAAAAGTGAATGTAGCTAAATAGCTAATGAGAGCAGCACAGGAGGCAGCGTGCACATACTTCTGTGTGCAATCTGTGCACAGCTCACAATAATCCTTATTGCAAAGCATTGTTTCAGGCATTGGTGAAATAAATGGGAGGAGATGCGTGGTTCTCCTGAAATTCCTCCGTGTAGGTCTCTCATAGTGCTGAAATATGGCTACCTTTTACAAGTATCTTTTTAAGATATGACTCCACTCATCTTTCCCTTTTTATTTCTGACACAACTTTACTTGAACTGATGTTTGACATAAAGATTATTTACTTTGGGAAGGCAATGGAGAAGAAGTTGTAAAAGGGCTGGTTAGCAACAGTTGGTTGGAAAGATGGCTGAAAGGTTTGATAAGTATTTGCTTCCTGGTCACCTGATCACATTGCAAATGAATGGCTACATCCTTGGTTTTCTCACCTTGGAAATGGTGATCCCAGTCTGGCTGCAATCAGTGTTTCTGCCTCAGCATTCCTCGCTTCACTCTCTTGTTTTCTTTGATCTGTTTTTGGACTGCTTATTAATTTTATTTTAGGCTTATTACACAGTATATTTTGTCAGATTCATCAAGATTTTGTGTCTTGACCATTCTAAGTAAATAGCAAACCCTCTCCAGTCACTGAATTATAGCAAGAAGTGAAAATAAAGCAGAAATTCGATCAGAGCATGGTGGGCCTAATTGCTGTTTATACTGTGTAAATAATCTCAAGGTGCCCTCCTGCTTGCTACATTTCCTCATAGCAGCTCACATCCACATGGGGTAATTGAAAGACACTGACGGAGAAGGGATGCAGGTTCTAGTAGGAGTTTTGCCACTAATTAGCAATGTTACTTTAGACAAATCCTGGCTTTGTTTCCTCATCAGCACAGTAAATGGGTTGACCTATATTATCTCCCAGGTCCTTTCCAACTCCAGAATTTTAAAAGGTCCGTGATTTCAAGCCAAAAACTATATTACAGAATGGGTGACAGTATGTATAAGTGCAAGTTGATTAGGGAAATGGCATAGGATTTATCTTTTAAATTGGCTTTCACAATAATAAATCACAGCATAAAGATACAGAGAAGAGAGAGACATTTTATGGAAGCGTTCAAGGGAGCATAGCTTATTTCAAACAATGATTTCTGAAAATAACCTTTCATTCTTTGCCCTTCTATTTTTCCTAATGGATGGCATAAAATGGATACTCAACCTGAATATAGTGGCTTTCATTCCATTTTAAGTCACCCCATCATGTTGTGTACTGCTGCTTTCTGTGTTAGCTGACACTGCAGGATGTGGCACAATGCAAAATGAAGAGTTAGAAATGTGACATGGCATGTCGGAAACAATGCTTGCTTTTTGCAGATCAGTTATCATTTAAAGGCTGGTATTTAGAAACATCTTTAGATAATTCAATAGCTCTGTGTCTCTGGTAGGAAGGATGTCAACCTGAGTTAATTTTTTTTGCTTATCAGATATGATGGGACAAGATGACATTAAAATGGTCACAAGAAGCTCTCCAGAATGCATATTTTTTAAAAAATCAAGCAAATCTTTAAGGAGCTTAGGAATTTCTTGGATTGATTTAATGCAACTGTGGTATTCAAAGAAAAATGATCATTGTCACAGACTGTCGTCCAGAATAAAATAGATATTTCCCATTGTTATCCTTGTCCTGATATATAGCAGTCTTCTGTGACATCACAATCTCCAAATTTTGATTGAAGTCAAATCTTGTGAAGGGAAAAATGTTTTAAAGTGACGAGGGTGCATTCATTTATTTGTTCTTGAAGTTTACTTTCCAGAAGTTTGGCTCATTAATCTGTAGGTATGAGGAAGTCATATTACCAGCAATGTCCAAAATTTTACAGGCTTTTACTAAATCCTACTCAAGCCAGATGATGTATTCCCCTGAAACAGTATTCCACGGATTTCTACACATGATTGTGTAGGGGGCCTAGCATCTTGCCAGAACACAAGGAATGTAAAAGACCAGTCAGGAACCAAATCTCAGGACAGGCCTCCCTGCTGGCGCAGGGGGTTGAGCGAGTGCTGGGAAGCTGTCCGGCGCAGCCTCTGCAGCCTGGGTTCTATCCCTGGCTGGCCAGGGAGATACCCACATGGCACGGCAGACCTCTCCTGTCTTGCCTGCTGCTCCCCTCAGCAGTGTTTTCGGTCCATATGCCTGTTCTGTTTCCCACTCTGTCTCTGCTGAATCCTCTCTCACTCCCGCACCTCTGGTCTGTACCCCAGTTCTTGTATGCATAAATAAATAAATCTTAAAAAAAAAAACAAATTACAGGACAGTCTGTAACAAATAGGGGATGAGAACTCTTGCCCTTCATGCTGAAATCATTTAGGGTTATAAACATGGCACTGTGGTGTTACTATCCCTATGGAGCTTTATGATAAAGGAGAAGGGATGTTGGGCTTTTACTCAGAGCCATCTCTCCTCTTAGATGCCTGACAGGCATTCAGAGGAAGGGAAAGGGATGAAATGAATGGCAACATTTGAGTCCTCTCTTCTGCAGTCGAAACCTTGTTTTAGGATCATTTTTATTCTCTTTGGATTCTTCCTTGGGAAAGTTCTTCATTTCCTGAAGCAAATAAAGTTCTGTCATCTCCTTACCAGTTTCCGGAGATGTCCAGACAGACTTTTCTGAAGTGCAGAAATAACTTAGGCCTTAGTTGGGATCTCTGACACTGCTCAACAAGTGCTTTCAGAGCATGATTTATGTGACTTTCTGTCTCCTTTCTGCCTCTCTAATTTTTTTTTTCCTTTGGAAGATTGGCAAGAATTGAAGAATTGACATTTAGCTTAGAATGCCTCTTAATTGAGACCATGAAGCCATTTTCAAGTAAAACACAATTAAGAGAGAAGGGATGTACTTCTGGAATATGGGTTTCTCCAGTCAGTGCCTTTATGTATACAGAAGGCTCTGATTAAACAACTTTCATTTAACTGACTGATCAGACATCTTTGTAAAGAAACAGAAATAATTAGAGTGCAAAAACATTCAAACTTTCCAGAACAAGCCAATGATGGATAATGTATAAGCTAACTCCCTTAGTGCTTGAGTGAATTTCTGTATTTACTGGGAAAGCTCTGGTTGTTTTAGAATTGTCTGGCAAATTTTATTAATATTTATCTTAGACTCTGATTTCAAACTATTTTCCATATTCTGGCGCAAAATTATTTTATTTTATTGCCTTGAATATAGTCACATTTACATGCATGGTGTGTGATCCTTAATATTTACTGCATACAACATATTGTATATATGTTGCTGTTAAAGTTACCTGCATTTAAATAGAGCTTGCTACTCACAGACTTTCATAAATTGCATGTTAACATTAATGTCCTACAATGTTGATTTAGAAATGACTAGGTACTAACATATTTCATATAACATTCTCAATTTCAAAAAAGAATTCCTCTTGTCTAATTGAGTTTCTGTAATAAATGGTAGCCCTTCATACTAATGGCAAAATATTGCTGCCCTCTGTGTCCAGAAATAATAATACTGACAAAGATAAGTAGGGATGTAGTTACCAGATCAATATGTGATCAATAGTTCACTTGGAGAGGGAAATACTATAATCACTATTGGCGAAGTCTCACGTTGTTTGTAGCCTTGTCTTAAAGTTGGGTGTTCCATACACAAATCAGTGCATAGACACAGGTTGTTAGTCAAGAAGAGTCTGACATATGTGTTCATGCAGCACCTTGGTCTTCATCTTGTGAGACAGAGCTCTATTCAAAAGGACTATTGCTCTAATGGTTGTGGAGTTTTGGAGTTGACGCAAGTGTGTTTCTCTTTTGTTTCTTCTTCTCCCCATTCTAGTTCTAGTTGGCTCTGTGGCTTCTTGGGTTATGTACTATCTATCATTTATTATGGAGGTTTCATTACACAGGCTAGATTGATGAGCACATTGGCCATTGGTGATTGATTCAACTGCTAGTCCCTCTGGCCTCCCTAGAAAGAAGAACTGGAAAGTTCCAACTCTCTGATTACGAGGCTGGTTCCACTGGCAACCTTAGGCACTTCCCCAAAAGCCACAGCATTAACATAATAAAAGATGCATTTTGTTAAAAGGATACTTAGGAAATTCCAAGGGTTTGTGTGTGTGTGTGTTTTTTTATGTGAACAGTGAGCAGGGAAATACCATGAAGGGAAATAGCATGAAATACAAATAATAAAAATATGTATTTGGTCATCTGAATTGTGTGTGTGTGTGTGTGTGTGTGTATTTCTCCCACAAATCACAATACTGCAGACAAAATCTTTAAAAATTTTGTCAAACAATCATATTCTAAAAATGTTTCACCATGGAAAAAATTAATAGCATGGATAAATAGAAAGAATTTTATGGGAAATCCTATGTAGTTGTTTGCCTTCACAAGTTTTAACTCATGGCCAATTTTATTTCTGTATTCCCCACTGAAGTAGGGAAGTGTCCCTCTTCAATTATTTTGGAGCAAATCCCAGACATTCTATCAACTCATCTGTAAATATTCCAGAATGCATCTATAGAACAAGAATTTTCTCTCTGTCTTTCTCTCTTTTTCAAAGAAAACAAGGAGGTCCTGTTTTTCCATAATCAGGTTTTTCTGATTATATGCCTAAACTGTCAATTTATTGTGCAACACTTGCAAAAGCTGTTGAGTCCTGAATTTGAATTGGAATCATCAGTGAGGTATGGAAACATGAGATATTTTACCTTTTTTTTCCAAATTACCTATTCCCTATCTCTGTAAAGAACTAGAATAATAACCACCAAGGCAGTAAATGAGTTTCATCTCACCAATTCTACTCCATCCAAACCATAACTTCTTGAAGAGACTGATTTCAGGTCTAGGGTCAGGAAATGTACAAGATGGGCATGGAAATCTTGTCATACTTGAATCAAAATCATTATCAAAGATGACAGTGTTTGTTTGAAGAACACTCAGGAACCAACTTGAGCAGGTTTTCACTGGCCAAGGGGAGACTGATTTGGGCACAAATAAAGATAAAAATTGCAATGGTTTAAAACATATCAAATTCATTTAAGAAAATGAATTCATAATGATGCCTTTGAAGGAGGCTATGGATCCAATTCATTATTTATATCAAATTCAAAATTGATAAAAATCAAGCTTTTATTTTGTTTTTCTTAAACTGATTCTATCTAAAGTAATCAAATTACTGAGAAGAGATGATTTTTCTTTACAGGTATTTCAGTTAATGAATGAAGAAAAATAATATAATCATAACATCTTCAGCTCCTCCTCACCTGATGGGGCTGGGCATTGATCATCGCTGCTTTTGATGCTGAGCAGACAGGACACCTCCCAGGGGAAGATCACAGCATCACCTCTGATAAAGTCTTGCCAAAAAATAAAATCTGAATCTTACTAAACCTGTAGGTTTACCAGCCAATTTATAAGAAATACAAGTTGAAGATAAGACTTGTGTTTTTTTCTTAACTTATTACATGTAATTAATTTCAGGTAACAGACATTGAACCTGAGTGAATACATATTTGCTGCACAAAATAAGCCTAGACTTTCTCAGAAATTTCACAGAAAAGTTCTTAAGTATTTGCCATGTTCAGATTTTTGCCTTAGGAAGGGGTTAATCTTAGTGGCAAAGAAGACTTTTTAAAAGAGGTTGGCACTTAACATGATGCCTATTATTTCTCCCGACATCCTATCTTCTTATCTTGCTCTTGGTTTTGTGGAGTAAGATGAAAGAAAATTGCTAGCACACTGTAGCACCGCGTGCTTGGTTTCAGTAATCTCAGCTTTGATTCAAATATTTTAAATGTTTCCCTCTCTGAAAAAGAAAAAAAAAAAAAGAGTGAGGCTCAAATAAGGGGCCAACAGGGAAAGGGACAGTTAAATTGGATTCTATAGTGTTCGGTTCCCTGACTACAAAAAATAATCCTATTAATAATCTTGTCTTCTGACCTTATGTAGACTGGATTCTTTTTTCTCCTCTCTGCTGAGTACACATGTCTTTCAGAGAATAGAGAATATCTGAAAATGCCAATTTAAAAGTATTTTGCTTTACTTGGAAACTCAGGAAGAATTCTAGGAGTTCTCCCCTGTGTCAAGTCTAGGAATGTTTGGCTATTATTCTTTTTAATGATTATTACAGAATTCTTTTTGTGTGAGAGGAAGCTGAAAACTGCAGGATGACTCATAATGAATTGTCATTTGAAGGCAAGTTATTTATTGCTTGTTTCAAATATATTTGTGATTAACACTTATTACTAAAGATTTATGGTATCAATGCAGTCCTTCAAATTTTTAACAATTATTCATTAAATATATATTGCATTCCAGTTATGTGTCAGGTATATACTGGAACTGCAGCAAGGGACAAGATGTGCACGTGATCTTCTCTCCAGGAAGTCAGAGCTTGGTCTTCCGGGGAAGCATTTGCCAAGAAAGAATCGGAAGTGCAAGAGGTTTATTGGAGGAAATGTCAGTGAAGGATAATGGGAAAGGGCGTGGGAGCAAATGCAGAGAAACTCAGACAATGATGCAGTCCTGACAATGTCACAGGCAAAGAGGAAGGAAGGAGGGTTGGGTAGGAAGAACCAGCAGCTAGGCTGATGGGGAGTCCTTAGCAAAAATTGCTCATTAGAAGAGCCCCACACTGGCCAGGAATGGCTCAGCTCTAATAACCCTGCTGTGCTCAGTCATTGACTCAGAGCAGCCTGGACAAATTCTGACCTTGGTGTGAGTGCCATGGTGGATCCAGTAAGCATGAGAGCTGGTGACTGTCAGATAACTGCACAGGATCTTTCCTGAAATGTGATCTTAAAGGTGCGTTGCTATAGCTGTTGCAGTGGGGTTGGCAGATATTGAACAAACAGATACAAGGGTAAGGTATGTCACAGTAGGGGTATTATGAGAGTATTTAGTGGTGTAGCAGGGAAATTTTTTCTGCATTCACTGTTTTCTCCCTCTTCTGCCAAGAGTCATAGGGAACAATGTTACCTAAATTCTTTATACGGTGCTTTTCAGATAGGTTCACCCAGGCACTGGCAGGACACTGGAACGCTGAGGGAAGGAGAATCCAGTCTATTTCTCCCCATCTCTATCTGTGTCCTCTGGTCTCTCCAGCAATAGCTGCATCTTATCTGGATTTCCAGAAGTCCCTCACTTCTGGGCTTGTTTTCCCTGAACAATCATGTTTCCTGGGATACTGGTTATTGACATTGTCCTTTTACTGCATAGATATCATAGTAAGTTCCTGCTGTTATTAATCTCTTGCCTCATTGTGCCCTGTTAATTTTCATAGCGTTTTCATTTCCTTTGTAACTGGTTCCTTATATTAAATTCCCTTTGTCTGAAATACATAGACAGCTCTCATTTCCTACTTAAACCCTGATTGGTAGACATAGTCTGGTCAAGGGGATGATTTCTCTAAAGGAATGACATTTAAGCTAAAACCTGAGGGATGAGTAGGAACTATTCAAAATCGACTGATCTTAGGATTCTCACTGGTGCAGTACTTGTACATTATCTTTTATTTCAGGCAATTTGTAGTTTTCAAATAGCACACTAGCTACAAGTAAAGATTCTAGAATTGGAGTACTTGGGTGCAAAGCACAATGTCTACTCCTTTTGGGAGTTTTCCAAGTTCCCTGTGACTCAGTATCCCCTGTAAAGTAATAATAATAATAATATTTTCAGCTTCTAGAGAAGACACAAGAAGTCAGTAAATTAATATGCACAATCGAATATATTTGGCATATTCTTTTTTCACATCTATGGCAGGGCTTTGGAGAAGTTTTTTATGTGAATGTGCAATCTGAACCTTTAGGAGAATAATAGTACATGTAGGGTAGATGCTGCTTTATCAAGAATCTGTTTCAGGGGAGAAGTCCGAGGCCAGCATGAGTTTTTCTTACTTATTCTTGATCACCATCTTTTCCTAATACTTGTGGGTTTCTTCTTTCCTAGATATTCAATAGTTTTATTAAAATGTATAAAAGTGGTCAGTTTCATTAAGTTTTGATTGACATATACATATGGTCTATTATTTTGCAGGTTTATTCATTTCGTCCTTCGAGGAGAGTTTCCATGTTCCCCCATATTCGTCATTGACATAGTTTTCTGTTCTGTTATATTATTCTGGGGGAAGTTCATGTTTTCCTTTCAATTTACAAAGAGACTCAATTAGTGCATTTGACATTTTATGTAAAAAGCATTTTGGAGTGTGTGGGTGCAAATCAGAGCATCTGCTTTCTATACATGTGACCTTGGGTAGTTTATTAAGACCTTCATAACCAAGGTAAAAGATTGTGCTGCATACTTTGGAGATAGTTCTCTCTTTACTTTTTCAATGTTTAAAGACCTCCCTGTTGTACATGAGGCCTGGCCTGCTGCTGGAGGTCGTGAGAGCATTTGGAATGTGCTTGGTCAGTTAGCAAGCTACACAGGCGCTTATTGTGTTTCCTCTGCCTCAACTCACTCATCCCACCTCTCTCTTGTTACCTTTTCTTCGTTTAGAACAGTCCAAGTTTTATTTATACTCAGTTATAGACTTTATTCAGTGATTAATGTAGTCCTGATCTGTGGTCAATAATAAGCTACAAATTTCTATACATCATAGAAGGAATCTGGATTGGTCCTTGGGGTTGATTTGCTCATACTAGAGATCTGATCTCTCCTGATTCTTTATTGGCTGCATCTGGAAGCACAGCCTCTGTAGCGGCAATAAAGAAACTCCTTGGGAATAAGAATCACAATCCAGAATAACCTGGGCTTTTGGATCCATTGTCCCACGGCAACAACCTGGCAGTTAAGAGCACAGGCTCTGGAGAAACATCGGCTGATCTCAAGTCTCTATTCTCCCTTCTCCTGTGTGATGTGACCAATTACCTAACCCTGCTAAGCTTTAGGTTGCTAATTAGTAAAATGAGGATGGTAATAATAGTTTCCTCAGGGGATTGTTGGTGATTATTGAATTAGATAATGTTTTGGATGGTCTTGGACATATAGAAAATATTGAATATGCCTAAGTTGTTATTGGCATTACTATGATGACTGGTCAATATCTAAATCAGTATATATATGTGTGTGTGTGTGTATTATACGTATGTTTACATATATATGTGTATATATATGCATATATATATATCTATATTACTCTGTATCTCTTATTTTATCTAATAAATGTGTTTATTTACTTTTATGACTAGAAGTTTGGGTTGCTACTTGTATATTTGGTTCCTGAGGAAAACCACCCCCAATCCACGCAGGTGATCGATGAATTGAACATTTGAGCTAGCATTCACTTTTTAGCAAGAATAAAGTGGAGGAGAGTGCTAGAAGCTTTAAGCCCTGTTTCTTAAATGACTTTGGACTGGGATATCCTATTTTGTCCTCCAGGAAGATCAATTATCCACATGTGTGTTGCTTGTTCTTCTATCCCTTTTCTTTGACTCATTTCATTTCTTTTTTTTTACCCTTTTCTTTCTAAAAGAATGTGTCAAATCTTTCTCCCAGATTTAATGTTCTGCAAGGTGAATTTATTTCTTTATGGCTCTGAGTGATATTTTAAATACCGTCCATCATGACATTATTAGTTACCTAACATTCTTTTACATTTTTTCCCTAATGTGGTCAACTTCTTTTCAAAAATATCTTTCTGTATCTTATCTTTTATTTTAAATATTATAAAAACAATGTTGTACTATGTCTGTGTCTTGGAACAAATCTTTGCAAAAACACACTTTTCCAGCTTTATCATGTTATCTTTATTTTCTTGCCAAAACTTTTCAAAACACTTGACACTGTTTATTTTGTGTATACTTATCTCTGGTAGAGGGAGGCCTATTTTGATCTGTTGTTTGAACAAAAATTAAGATGGTGCATTCTCTTTGGTTCTGTTTATTGTTTAGCTTGACAATTTTTATTGCTCTTTTTATATCTTGTGATTAAAAAAGAGATAGTGTAGATTAATATTAATTGTTTGCTTATTACTCAGACAGAGAGGGATAGAGAGAAAATTGTGGCATGCAGAGTCCTGGGAGAACAGCATATTATGGACTTGTTGAAGATAGTGACTGGGTTTGCATATCTAATTTTCTCTTTAACTTGCTGATTGCTTTTAGGTACATGCTGTCATGTTCCTGTTATCTGTGTGCCAATCTGAGGAAATGTCCTTTTGTTTCAGGAAAATGCCTCTGAGTCAGAATGAATTTTGTCATTGGTGAGAAGCTGCTTGTCTGTATCCCCTTTTGTGCGGTATGATATATTTCCTCAGCCCGTGCTTGTGTTTCGCTTCTGCCCTGGAATGTTTTTCTTGAGGCACTGAAACTGACTCTAAGGAGAGGAGAGCTTTTCTCCCACAGCTCCTCCCTTCCCCGCTTGCTTCCTCTCTCCCTCCCTCTCCCTTCCTTCCCTTCCTCCCTTCTTTCTTTGCCCCTTTTTTTCCCATCCCCCCTCTCTTTTTCTTTTTCTTTCTTTCTCTCCAATCCTCTTCAATTCAGAAAATTATTCCATCACATTGTGAAGGGGAGATCATTTTATTAGGAAATTGGAGTCAGCAAAAACTTTTCTCTGATTGACGTGATTTGCTCCTGTGACACTGATGCAAGGGGTTCAAGGAGGTTGTCCCTTTCTGTCTTCTGCCTTAACTTCTTATAACTCTTAAATGGCGAGGCAAGGGCACCTGGCTGAATGGGGCTGAAATCCACTCTTGCTGACCAAGCCTTGTGACCACTCAAAGGGAGAGACATTATCTAAAAATTATAAGTACACTGTTGACTGGAGATCTGCATTCGGTAGAGGGTGGTAGGAAGGACAGAGACATTGCTTATTCCTAGTTTGAATTTGCATAGAAATTTAGCAGGAACTATTAGTGGCCTTTGCAACATTAGGTGAGTTTATGGACTGTGTTTTCTTGGAAAGGAGATCATCAGTTAGCTCTTGATGACTAGCTTCAATCTTTTTCTATCAGGGCCATGTTTGAGAGAAATTCCTTGACACTCTGCTTATTTTCAGCTGGTATGGAAAAGGAGTTTTCATCCACATTTCTATAGTTACCTTTCCAAGAAGTCCTTACTTTATTTAAAACATGTAACAATTGGTTGAAAAACTTAATGAAACGAGTGATTGAATAAAAAATAAATAAGCAAATGAAGTATTGAAGGAAGTATCTTTTTTCCATCCCTGCCCCCAATTTGCTGAATTTAACTCATGGGCAATTTCTGTTAATACTTTATTATGTTTCCTTTTATAATTTATTTATGCATATATAAACAAATACAAGTATAAATTACTTCTAAAAAATTTTCCCATTCTTCTTTTAAATGGAAAGGGCATTTGCCATGTTGCCAGTATCATTAAGGACTTTTCAAATTTGGACACTGAATGGTTCTTCATTCTCTTATCCAGAAGCTTATTCCATTGTCTGGATAATTCATTTACCCAGTCTCCTGAAGATAAACATTAGATATGTTTACTATCATTTGTTCTTATAAACAATGTTATTATGAACAAACTTGGACATTATTCATTTGGCACATGGGAAAATATGTCTCTGGGAGAAGTAACCAGAAGTCAAACAATTGAGTCAAGTGATATTTGAATGACTAATATTGGCAGATCTAGGCCAATTAGCATCCATAGATTTTAGCAGTTTATATTTCTACAAAAGAAGTTTGAAAATGTTTTGTCTTCCCACAGACTTGCTAAAATAGTGTATTATCAAGCTTTTAGATTTTATCAGGGTGATAGGAGAGAAAAGATATGACAGTGCCACCTTTACTTGTATTTCTCTTACTATGAGTAAGATTGAGCCTCTTTTTATTGGACTGAGTCATGTGTGGTTTACTTTCTGTGAGGTCTGCTTA